AGAGCTTTTCTTTCTTTTTTTTCTTTAATTTATTTTTAATTTTCAACAATCACTTCCAAAAACTTGTGAGTTTTAAATTTTCTCCCCCATCCCCCCCTACTCCCTCCCCAAGACGGCATGAAATCTGAGGTAAGCTCTACATGTACATCCCTATTAAACATATTTTCACATTAGTCATGTTGTAAAGAAGAATTAGAACCCGTAAGAGGAACCACAAGAAAGAAGAAACAAAACAAAACAGAAGGAAAAAAAAAGAGCAAATAGTATGCTTCGATCTGCATTCAAACTCCATAGTTCTTTCTCTGGATGACAGCTTTTTCCATCATGAGACTAAAATAAGAGCTTTTCCCAAATGATAAATGGTCAAAGGATATGAACAGGAAATTTTCAGAAGAAGAAATCAAAGCTATCTCATATGGAAAAATGCTCTAAATCACCAGTGATTAGAGAATGCAAATTAAAACTCTGAAGTTCCACCTCACACCTATCAGAAATGACAAATGCTGAAAGGGATGAAGAAAAATAGGTATACTAATAAACTCTTGGTAAAATTGTGAACTGGTCCAACCATGTTGGAGAACAATTTGGAACTATACCCAAAGGGCTATAAAACTGCATACCCTTTGACCCAGCAATACTCTACTAGGTCGGTATCCCAAAGAGAGCAAAGAAAAAGGAAAAGGACCTATATGTAAAAAAAATATTTATAGCAGCTCTTTTTGTGTTGGCAATGAATTGGAAATTGAGAAGATGCTTATCAATTGGGGAATGACTGAATGAGTTGTGGCATATGATTGTGATAGAGTACTATAAGAAATGATGAGGGGGGTTGTTTCAGAAAAACATGGCAAGACCTATGTGAACTGATACTAAGTGAAGTGAGAAGAACTGGAAGATTATTGTACACAGTAACAGCAATATCGTAATAATGATTAACTGTGAAAGACTTGGCTATTCTGATTAATACAGTGATCCAAGAAAATCCCAAAGGACTTATGATGAAAAAAATGCTATCTACCTCCAGAGAGAGAACTGATGGATTCTGAGTGCAAACTGAAGCATAATGTTCTTGTTTTATTTTTTTTTTTGTTAATACGGCTAATGTGGAAATATTTTCCATGATCTCACAGGCATAATTAATTGAAATCACGTTGCTTACCTTCTTAGTGGGTAGGGAAGGAGTGGGAGGGAGAGAATTTGGAACTGAAAATCTAAAAAACCCAAACCCACAATAAATAAATAATAAATTGGAAACATCATCATCATCATCCTGAGAAGGGGTCTATAGGCTTCACTAGACTACCAAAATGATCTTTTATCCTCTCTCCCTCCAAATTAGGAAGCCCTGTATTATGAACAGGCATTGAGCTAAGCACTAGAGAACAGTTCAATTCCAGTCGAAATACTTCTCAGAAACATATTTAAATTTGAGGGGCAGCTAGGTGGAGCAGTGGAAAGAGCACCGGCCCTGGATTCAGGAGAACCTGAGTTCAAATCCGGCCTCAGACACGTAACACTTACTAGCTCTGTGACCCTGGGCAAGTCACTTAACCCCACTGCCTAGCCAAAAAAAAAAAAAAAAAAAAACACAAAAAAACCCAACCAAACAAACAAAAAACAACAACCCAAAAACCAAAGAGAAGAAATTTAGTCCTTATATAGGACCAGTTCTATACTGCTAATTTTACCTGGTTACTTTGTTGTGAATCTTATGTGAATCACCACATGGAACAAATTTTCACTGTTGTCTTATTTTTTTCCCCCACTAAGAAGTCTCAAGGGCCAGGCTCTTCACATATTTTTAGCACACTTATATGGAAACATTTATTCTTCTTGAACTCTAGACTTTCTCTACCAGACTCCAGAAACCTCTTCATCCTGGGAGCTCACTCTAGACCTAGAATCCATGCAAGTACCAAGTGCCCCTGTAGCTTCTCATTCAGATTGGGTGGCTCCTCGAAGAACCTCCATTTAAAGAGAATACCCAGGCCAGCCAGGTCTGATTCCTTCCTAATGCTGCACTAAGGACTCTCTACCACCCTGCCTATAGGGCATCCAGTTTGAAATGTGGTGTTCAGGAGTGAGACTAGGGCAAGATATATGAATCTGGGAGTCATCTAATAAGGTGATTAAGTAAGAAAGTACAGAGACAGAAGAGAAAGAATCCTGGGAAAGAACCTTAGGGTACATTCATATTTGGGGTCAATATATGGATGATGATTCAGCAAAGGAAAATGAGGTCTGGTCAGATAGGAGGATAACAAAAGAGTGTCAAAAATCCTGAAGACAGGAGAGGATCCAGGAAGAAAGGGTAGTCAGTATTATTAAAGGCAGTAGAGAGATTAAGACAGTGATTAAGAAAAGGTAGTAACTGAGTAGGGCTTTAAAGGACGCATAGAAATTCAACAAACAAGTCTACTTGTGATTTCCCTATAGATATGTGCCATCTCCTGCCTCCAGGCAATTGGTCCCCTATATACATGCCCACTGCACTCAGCCTCTTAGAATTCTTAGCTTCCTTCAGAGCACAGCTTAGTCATGCATAAGTTCCCAAATCACTTTACTGGAGTGGGGAAAAACTGGAGGCAGGCAGACCCACCAGCAGCTATTATAATAATTCAGGTTCAAGGTGATGAGGAACTGCACTAGAATGGTAGCTGTATCAGAACAGAAAAGGAGAAATATTTGAGAGATGCTGCAAATGTACAATCAACAGACCATGGCAAGAGATTGGATATGGGGAGTGAGAGACAGTGAGGAGTACACGATGAGGACCCCTAGGTTATGAGCTTGGGTGACTGGGATGGTAGTGTTCTTGACAGTAATAGGAAATTTAGGAAGAGGGAAGGCTTGAGGAGAAAGATATTAAGTTCCATTTTGGACATAAGATGTCTACCAGATGGACTGGATGGTAGATCTGGGAATTATCAGCATAAAACTGATGAGATCATCAACCTGAGTAGTACAGAGAGAGAAGAGAAGAGGGCCCAGGACAGAGCCTTGGGGACAACCAAGGCTAGCTAGTGGGTGTGACCAGGATGAAAATCCAGGAAAGGAGACTGAGGAGTGGCCAGAGAGGTAGGAGAACCAGGAGAGGGCAGCATCACAAAAACCTAGAGAAGAGAGTATCAAGGAAAAGAGGGGGATCAACACCATTAAAAGCTGCAGAGAGGTAAGAAGGATGGATGAGGATTGAGGCCATTAAATGGGCAATTAAGAAATTATTGTTAACTCTGGAGAGAACAGTTTCAGTTGAATGATGAGATCAGGAGCCAAACTACAGAGACAAAGAAAAGAGAGGGAGAAATAGAAGTGAAGGCACCAGTCACAGACCAGCCTTCTTAAGCAGTGTAACCACACTAAGGAGGAGAGACATGGGATTACATAGCTATAGGAGACAGATGGGTTAAGTGAGGCAGATACTGGTGTATTTGTAGGCAGCAGATGAGCAACCAGTGCACAATAAGATATATGAAGGCCTTTCATGACTCTTTCAGTTGCTAGTTCTCCTTCCCTCTGGACATTTTGTTCTTTCCTTATTTGTGTAAATGTCACATTCCTCCCCTCTCCCAGTGGACCATAAAACTCCTCCTGGCCAGGAGCTGTTTTGTTTTTCTTTTGTATGCCCCAAGCCTAGTACACCTTTTGCATGTTTGTTTAGTTCAATTTGTTGAACAAGTGAAGGGGTGGGCAAAGACACAAAGAATAACATGACTTATGGCAGGGAGGTGGGGAAAATACAAAATTGATAAGGAAGTAGTAAGAGGAAAATAAGTCAGGGCAGTGCCAGATTAGAGTCTGAATTTTCATGGATAAGTAATGGATAACCACTTAAGAGTTGTGAGCAGAGGAGTAACAAGTTTAGTGTATAGGAGGTTGTCTGCCAGATGTCTGAAGGATGAATGAGGGAGGGGGACAGCAGAAGGTGAGGGAGAAGACTGGTTAGGGTTTTTTTTTAAATGACTAATAATGATGGATAGCCTATACTAAGGCTGCAGCCATGGGAAGAAAGAATAAAGGATATATTTGTTGGAGAGACACTATAGAAAAATCCTAGGGCTCTGACCTCAGAATAAGACACAGGGTCACAGATTGTAAGCCTGAAAGGACCTACTCTTAATGAAGTTTACAAAGTGATGTCTTTTTAAAGAACTCACATCATTTTGACTTTAATGGACAAAGATCTTGCAAGTGGGGCCAAAGCCCCATGCAAAGACCATGCAAATCAGGGCCAAAGGCAGGTTATCGTTCAGCAATTAGGAATGCATTTCTAGGAACCACTGCAGTAAATGTGTTCCTTCCTAATCTGTCTAATTTAAACCGCTGGATTACAACCTTCTCTTTGACAAAAGAATGAAGCCATGGTGCAGAGTAGATACGACTGTGGGGGGGGTGAATGGGATGAGATTCTAGCTACAGGGTCCTCCTTAAAGGGCTGGAATTTAGAGTGGTGTCACGCCACGCCACGCCACGCCACGCCGACCTAAGCCAAGCCAAGCCAAGCCAAACTCAACTCTACCCTGGCCCTCCTTGATTCTCCTGGGGCAGGATAGAGGAATCACATCGCGCACGCGCAAACTTACGGAGGGGGTGGGGAGGAGAGGATCTGACTCCGCATGCGCAATGGGAGCAGCACGGAATGAAAAAATTTCTCTCTACACTCATGCCGCTGGGAGGGGATTCTTCTCAAGCCAGGCCCCTTCCACTTCTCCCTTCGTTTCCGTCTTGACGGCTAAAGCTCCCGGGATCCTCGTCTCTCCTCCCCCACTTCCCACCGTCCCTCCTCGCTCAAGCTCCTGAGCACGCTTCCATTAAGCAGGTCACTCACCACAACCACTGGCCTTTCGGCCACTCCGGCGCTCGCTGCTCCAGCCCCTCCCCCAGGAGCCGTGGGCGTCAGTGAAGGGTAGCGCTCGCACCAAGTGCCCGTGCCGGCGTCGGCGTACGGAGAGCTCGAGGCGGGGGCGGCGTGCTCGCGCCCGCGGTCAGCGCGCGGTGGGGGCGCGCACGTCCCCCGTACGGTGGCCAGCCCTCTTCCGAGGCGCTCGCCAGCCGCTCTGGGGCATCGCCGGGACGCTGTAGGTGTTCTCTTCCCGATTTTTCTTCTCGTACCCACTTGCCTCCTTTCATGCCTTTGGCTGCTGTGGCGGCGGCTCGCTGCTCCGCCTCGGGTCTCCTCTCTTCCGCCGGCCTCTCCTGGGCCTCAGACTCGGAGGTTGTTTTCAGGGCAGAACTCCTGAGGAGAGGAGGGGGAGGGGAGGTTTGGGGCCTGCCGAGGCCCGGGATAATTCCTCCCCGCCCCCACCCCGCTTCATGAATGAAGGGGAGCTCAATGCCTGGGTTCTGTGCTTCTGGCTTCTGCACTTGGCTCATTCCTTTTGCTGCCTCTCTGGCCTAGAGCAGAGCCTGGGAGGCCTGGCCAATGAGAGCGATAGTCTGAAAACGTCACTGCAACAAAATGGTACCCGGGCTCTCCTTTCTCCAAACTCCCACCAGTCTCAGTTGATTTAGGAGCTTCCTTATGCTTCATCCTTTTAATGTAGAATGTAAGCTCCGTGAAGGCAGGGGTTAGCTTCTTTTTTGTCTTGGTGTCCCCATTGCTCAGCTTAAAATGGTACCTTTGCACGTAGTAGGTCCTTAAAAGTTGTTGAATTGAATTGGATTTCCTCCTCAAGTGGTTAGACTTGGTATAAAAAAAATAAGTTATTGACCCAAAGTGGGTCTTAGCCTTCATAGATACTGTGTTGACCTGTTTTTACTAGTCTTTTTGGAGTAGTTCGATCTATAATACTGGGGCATGACCAAGTATGGATTGTTGAATCTAGTGAGAACCTTTGCCGAAGTACTAGTTTGTTAAGTAGAGAGCTGAAGTTACTCGATGATGTGAGTTTAGCTGACTAGAAGCTCTACAAAATGGTACTGGAGTCTCTTCACCTGATTGTTACAAAGGAGGATGCAAGGAAAGTCATCAATTAAACTGTAGTACAGTGGCAGTCCCAAGATACATTTTGGCCATTTTTCTTTTATTTTACATGGAGCGTGTGGTAGTATTTTGAAATATTTAATTATTCTTGGTGACCTTAGCTAGGATTATGTTTAGGGAGGATGAATTTTTCCCTGTATAAAGCATTTAATAAATGCAAATGGAATTATTCTCTTTAGGTTAATAATACCACTGAGATCAGCTCATTTTATTTTTCAAACAAAGGAACTGAACTATATGGCCTCTTCTCTGGGGATTAATTGGGAATATAAATAAGCTGTTTATAGCAGAGTGGGAATACATGATATGTTAGGAAATAAAAGTGATAACTTTCAGATGTTAGATATCTAATGGGGGTATTGGGGTCTTTTTTGTTTCTAATGGTCGGCTGTATTGTGAATGGATATTTATTAAAATCCTCAACTTCCCTTCATTGTGTACAGGGAAGAACATGGGTTTCTTTCTTTCTTGGTAAGGCAGTGATTTATTTTCCAGAATTTTGGCTGAAGAGCCTTTGGAAGAAGCATTATGGAAGTCCTCCGTCCACAGCTTATAAAAATCGAAGGGCGCATTTACAGGAAGAACTTTATACAAGAACAGACGTATCAGCATGCAGATGAAGATGAAGATTTCTATGGAGGTAATAATATGGCAAACCTTGTACTCTGGTTAGAGATAGGCTATTCTCTCACTTTTTAGGTTCAAGATAAGACTATTCTTTCATTCCATAGCAGTGATTCTTTGTTCTTGAGGTTTTAAGCACCTAGGTTTGAGGATAGGACTTAGCTAGGTAGCCTAATTCTTCTGACTCCTTTACGGATTGTTGTCAAGTTTCACGTAGCTCAGTGATCTTGACAGGAGTACTTCATCTTGGTGGAGGCTGACTGTGTTGTTTATAAATAAAGGTGTATTTTGTCTTTGGTAATTTAACAAAAGGTAGTTTCTGCCGGCCCGTATTGATATCTTTTAACGAAATTGGGTTTCCTGAATTGTTCAGTATTTACTAAGCAACTTCGGTGTACAGAGTGCTATTCTAGATTTTGGGGGAGATACAAAGGTTAGGTAAGACTGCCTTGGCAGTGGATAGATAGATAGGTATTCCATCAGTAAGTCAGTAAATATTTATTAAATATCTACTATGTTCTAGGCACTTTGTAAGAGCTGGAGGTACAAATACGAAAAAAAAACCAACAACACGAAACAGTCCCCGTTCTCAAAGGACTTACAGTCTAATGGAGGAAGACAACATAAGAGGGAGCTGAAAAGCTGGAGGCTGGGGGAAAGGCTCCTAATGAGGTCAGGGCATGGTGGAGAAGTCAGAGATGTCCCAGAGTCGTGCAGCCAGAGGAGGAATTATATATGTATATGTGTGTGTAGACAAATAGTTATAATATAACATCCTAGATATCGTTTAGGATTAAGATACTCTTGAAGGTGACTGCTATTGTAGGATTTGGAGCCTGGTGAGGCATTAGGATCCTAGCCCCCTCATTTTACAATATATAAGAACATCAGGGCAAAATGATCTGTGAAGAGAGAATGAAAGGTGATTACTAATTTTGGGGTGATGTTATTTAAAACTTTAAAGTATAGGTAGATATTCAACAGGTGTGTTGGAACATTCCAAGAATAGGATTCAACACGAGCAAAAGCATGGAAAGAGGAAAATGTGGGTTGTCTGTGGGGGATGCCCTGAAATCTATTCTTTGACTGTAACTTAAGAACATATGGTAGGAGAATAAAGTAGTATGAGAAGACTGGAATGCTAGGATGGTACCAAATTCTAAAGGGTCTTAAATACCAGGCACAGACAGGAGTCTGAACTTTACTCAGTAGAAAATAGGGAGCCAGTGAGAGAAGAAGCGGTGATTACATGGTGGTTACGTGGTTAAGTGGATAAAGTATTGGACTTGGAGTCAAGAAGATGTGGGTTCAAATCCCTCCTCAGACACAGACACTGTGTGAGTTAGTGTAGGCAAGTAGCTGCTCTCAGCCTCAGTTCCTTACCTCTAAAAAAGAAATAATAATATTTGTGGCATTTGCCTTGTTAGGGTGATTGTGAGGATCCCATGAGAAAATGTATATAAAGTTCTTTGCAAACTTTAAAAAAGTGCTGCATAAATATTAGCTGCTATTCTTATTATGAAGAAAGTGACTTGGGCCTATGTCTCTTCTGCTCCCTTCTGCTGCTGGGAGTCTTACCTTTTGGGGAGCATCATGAACCCCTTTGGTAGTCTGGTGAAGCCTGTGTACCCCTTCTCAGGATAATGATTTTAAATAATTGAAGAGAATGCTGAATTTCAGTTAGAAGTTAGTGAAAATAAAGATATAATTTTTTTTCCTATCCATGATCACAAATTCCTGAAGTCTATCTCTGGAACTCTTGGAGGTGTGTGAACCCCAGTTTAAGAGCCCCTGAATTTGAGAATCTGGGTTTGAGTCCTGGTTCTGATACTTAATAGCTACATGATTTTGGGCAATTCCCCTCTCTTCTCTGGGCCTTAGTTTCCTTATTTATCAAATAAGGGCACTGCTTTAGTGTGCCCATGTTATTTTTGTGGTTCCCTGCTGCTGTGAGGATAAGCCCAGCCTCTTCTGTTGGACATTTGAAGCCCTCTGTAGTCTGACTGACTCTAGATTACTTTTCCGGTTCATTGTGCATCACTTTTCTTCCTGCGCTGTCTTCCTCACTCCTCCTTGTAGTCCATTTATAATCTCCATATCTTTGCACAGATCCTCTCTCATGCCTAGCTTACATTTGTTCCTTATCTCTTAGGACTCCTGGCTTTTGTCAAGGCTCAACTCAAGTGTTGTCTTCTAATTATAAATACACCAAACCTTCCCCCCCTCCCCCATTGTTAATGTCCTCTTACTCCTTCATTGAGTTACTTTGTCTATACTTGTTTGTTTACGTGTTCTTTCTCCCTAAAGAATGTCAGGTTCTTGCGGGCAAGAACTATTTCATTTTTGTTTTTTAAACCCCCACGTAGTTAGTACTTAATATTTGTTTACTGAATGAAAAAATATTTAATGAATGAATGACTTCTAAAGTCTCACCCAGCTCTAAATCCTGCAGTCTCTCATCCTTTGAGGACATTTTGAGATATCAGCTTTTTGAAGCTGTGGTATGTTGCAGGAATGGTTTTAGAGAGGCACTTAGGGATACTGGAAAAAGTTTTGAAGTCAAACTCAAGAGAATCCATAATTTGATGGTAGCTGTGTGACTTTGGACAAACGACTTAACCTCTGTTTCTCCCTCTGTAAAATGAAAATAATTTCCATAGTTTCCACCTTGGAACTATTATGAAGATCAAATAAGATAAAATCTATAAAATGCTTTTTAAATTTTAAAGCACTATGTACATATTAGCTACAACTATGATTATATTAAGTTTAGTTAGGTTTAAATCACAAAACAGTATTATTCAGGCCTTCTGATAATGTTTCCCATTAGTCTGCGGGTCCATCCATTTGGGTAGGGTAGTCAGACTTCCTTGTTCCTCTGGATCCCCTGGGTTCTTGTCCAGACTTTCACTCCTAGAGTTAGGCTGTCTTGGATCTTTGAGGTTCAGAGTGCTAGATAATCAGAGCCCTTGTATGATGTCTTAGGACAGAATGCTAAGGACCTTGGAGTCCTTGGGTGCCTGGGCTGTCCTGGTCTGAGCATTGCTGTGCTGCATGGGTCACTGCTGCTCCTTGGGGCTTCCAAAGCCCTCACACTAGCTTTATGATTACTCTGGGATTTTCCATCCTTCTTAGAGGTTTTTTTAGGGGAGCCCTTGACTCTTGCTGCCTCATACACCAGGTGCCTCTGGTCACTCTGGGAAGCTGTTGACTTGGTTGCTTGCGCTGTACTGCTTCACTCACTTGGCACACTTTCCTGTTGCCTATGGGCTTCTGGCTGACTTTTTATGCAATTTGCGGGTGGAAGAAGTCACTTAACTGTAGTTTCTCGTTGGATTTCTTGTAAGCAACATATTTTTGGATTCTGGTTCTTAATGCATTCTGCTATCTGCTTCCATTTTATGAGTGAGTTCTTCCCATCCACAGAGGGATGGGTAAAATAGAATGTTTCCTTCTGAGTTTGTGTCTTGATCTTCCCTGTCACCATATTAGCTATTTATGTTCAGGTTCTTTTTTTGTTGTTTACTTATTTTCCCACACTATTTCTTTATTTGGAACTTCATGTTAATGTTGGGCTCTGTTCTCGAGGGGGGAGGGAGGCGGGGCTCTGTCTCAACCTTCAGGCTTTTTTCCCCACTGTTGTTTTCATAGATAGTCCTAGGGTTTTGGAGTTTTCATGCTTCCAAGATCATGTGATCTGGGGAGAGGTATGGTTACTGCTCCCTTGATCTGTACTCTGGTCCTTCCCCAGGAAGGGCGCCTCCTCCTTGGGACTGGAAGTGATGCTGCCCATCAAGGTCCCTGATCCCTTGGGGTCAGAAGTGATACTGCCCCTCAGGGCTTCCACTCCCTCCTGATGGAAAGTGCTCAAGTATAGGCAGTGGAGTTGCCAAATAGCATCTGGTAGTACAAGGATACCAACAGCTAGTACAGGGGTACCCTGTAATCTCTTTCTGATCAGTTGCCAGGTCCCCTTTCCATCTCTGGCTTGAGAGCTCCTGAAGCTGCTGCTGCTTTTGTCACCACCTCTTAGTCCCACCACTGGTGTTTCATCCATGTGGACTCCAGGCCAGCCTCCTCCCTTGTATTACAGATCTCTTTTTCTGGCCTTCTATGTTGTCTTGGGCTGGAAGAATGTTTCACTCTGACCTTTTGTTGGCTCTGCCACTCCAGAATTCTAGTTGAGCTATTATTTTAAAGTGGTTTGGAGGGGAATGTTGAGAGATCTCAGCTGAGTGCTTTTCTACTCCACCACCTTGGCCATGCGCCCTTTCATTGGCTTTCTTGATCATTATTCAGTTTAATGTGAATTTCAGGTTTTTTCTGGAATAGGTATATGTGAGCTGGGCAGTTTGTAGTAAGACTTTTCTCTTGACCAGAAGTCACAGTAGATCTTTTAATTTTTCGTGTATGCTGTTGTAACTCTTGTTCTAGAGTCATCTGTTAATTATTTTCTCTTGCAACAACAATAATAGTTAGCATTTATGTAGTACTTTAAGTTTTGTAAAGTGCTTTACATATGCTATCTCATTTGACTCTTACAGCTCTGTGAGGGAGGTGCTGTTATTATCCTCATTTTACAGATAAGGAAGCTGAAGCTGAGAGAAGTTGAACGACTTGCCCAGAGTCACTTAGCTAGTAAATGTTAGAGGCAGGATTTGAACTCAGGTCTTCCTGACTCCAAGTCTAGCATTCTTTACACTGCTCCAACCAGCTGCCCCAAGATGAAATCATCTCCTTTTCTGTCGGCATGTCCTTATGTGATGTATTTTATATCATTGTTTTGCTGCAGGTCATTGTTAGTAATATGCTACAGTCTACTTAGATCCATCATAAGACTTTCCAATGCCCTTTGGGTTAGCTGCAGTTTTGAGTCTTTGTTTGATGACTTGTAGCCCTGTGACATCACTGGGAGAACTGTGATGTTGAAAGATAAACTTTTGTGGCAGAGAGTAGCTTGGGAACTCTGAAAGCTCTTCATTTCCTAGATGGAACCAATCCAGTTCACTTTCTTAA